TCTCCACAGTGATCATTACTCCCATGGTGGCACTTTGTGTCATCGGGTGTTTATCGCTTGTGTGATGTTCTGGTGGGGTAGAAAGTCAGTCAGTCAGTCAATTCTTTTGTGCCTATGCACGAGCCACCACTGACACCAATATTTTTTTAATTGTCTTTAAAGCAAAGAATTGAGTCGCATACTTTCCGCGTGCATATTATTAAATTGGGAACAAACTGTAAAACCTCTACTAATCTACCAGAGAATTCTCGCAAATATTCCACGTACACAGTAAAAGCTTCTGCAGACACATATGTCCCGCCAAGGTTATATTGACACAAGTTTCGGGAGCCAGACGTCATACATGAGAAGTTTTATGAATAATTTTGTCTGACTGAATAGATCGTATGTACCTCCATCCACGGTGCATTGACAAAAGAGGAGCCGTATGTACTCAAGGCACTGGATATTGGCAATAGAAGGGGGCTTCAATATAAATTACGTAAGGGCCATATTGAGAATAATCTGTTTTTTTTTTTTTTTTTATCAAACGGTGCAATATGAAACTTCTTCTATAGGATAAATTTGCTCAGACGTGATGTTGCTGAAAATAATGTTGGGTGTGTTTGAACTAGAAACACCGTGAGAATGCAGTTACAAGTAAACTACCGGACATTTTGGAGCCCGCCGTTGTGCAACGACTAGAGGCTTGCCTGCGGATCGGAATGTCGTGAGTTCAGTTCCTGATAGGGTCCGGTTTTTTTTTTTTTTTTTTTTGGCCTTGATTTCTAGGTCGACCATCCTTGAAATGGGTACTAGGTAAAGTCCTAGGAAGTAAAAGCAGCTGATGTGATACAGATCACTCACCAAGTTCCAGATAGCCTTTAAAAAATGTGTAGGTCTAGCCCTATATGCCTGAAGGTCCAGATAAGTATATGACCTTTTACACAGCTATGGCCTGTCAGGAATAAGATGATAACCCTTTATTTTCAAACAATTAAGTTAAACGTTTAAGTTGAGAAGAACGTCACACAAAGCACGAATACAAGAGTTCTCTCCATGTCTGCTTAAAAATTGCACTTCTGAACCAAACTACACACCACCGTGAAACGAACTGACGACCTTCAGAGTGCGAGGCAAGCGACCACTTTGTCCCGGAGACGCCAACAAACAATCACAGGCCTATGTGGGGAAATCGAATCCACAACATTCGCGTTATTAGCACGACGCTCTGGCCAGCTGAGATAACCGGCCATTACACCAGGTGGTACTAAATGAGTGATGTGGTCAACTTCATACACCGAACGCCTTTGCTTTCTAGGACATTTCCTGACACCAGGGCCGGATTTCGACTTGATGCTGCCCTAAGATATACAAAACCCCAGAGGCCCCGGCTGTTTCAAACTACACAAGCTAATTTTAGAGACTGTAAAATATAAATGCCTTTTAAATGTGTGGATAATGCAGAGTTGGTTGGTTGCTTGGTCAAAATTTTTGGGAAAACCGACGAGATGTGGCTTTATAGACGAATGGTGAGAATACTCTGGACAGATAAAAAGAGTAATGAAGAGTTTTTGAAAGAAACTGACTCACGAAGAGAACTGATTGCCCACATCAGAAAGAGACAATCTTCATTCTTTGGTCATGTGAGGAGAAGTAGAAAACTGGAGAAAATATGATGGACAGTTCGACATCGTAGCACTGAGGATCATCTGTATCAGAGTTGATTGAAAGTACACGAGACAGAAGGTTGTGGACAGACGTGACTACCAACGCCACACGGCATAAACTTTAAGAAGAAGAAAGTAAAAGAAATAATAAAGAATATGCGTGCAAAATCATTTTTTTTCTATACTAATCTAAAAGGCCCCATTAAAAGACAAATGCTTGAAAAACACATGTAACAAAAATTGCATCTGTGGCGGGAAAAAAGAGGAATTTGTTGAGGGCCCCGCAAGTTGAGAGGCCCTAGACTTAGGCATATTTTACTATACCTAAATTCGGCACTGTCTGAAACCCATTTTAAGCTGAGTCAACTTTGGTGTCCAGGTCGATTCTAAATATGCGCATGGATAATGATACAGGTATAAGTGAAGATCCCTGGTCATGCCACTGGCTATCCAGGCATACACAGGGTGTTTGTAAAGTCTCATACACTTTGTACGATGATTTTTTTTTTTTTTTTTATATCCAGAAACCATGAGTTGTAAACCCTTTGGATCGGTACTATGGATATCGCTACCCTTCGGCCTTGATCCCAATATAGGTACCGTTAATCTGGGAGAAATGTGGCTTTTCTGCCTACCCCCGGGAGTGAACCCGGACCACAAGGAGTTCAACAGGGGAAAAGTACATGACGATGTTAAAAAATGTGCCCATAGTCAATCGTGAAACAATTTACAGCCAGTGTCTGTCGTATGCTGACGTAATTCTGTGCACTCAAAACATAAAGGTGTTATCAACGGAAGAAAGCATTTTTTGAAAAGGGGGGGGGGGAGTGGGGGGGGGGGGGTTAACAAATGTTTCCAAATAGCAGTCGATAAACATGGATGATTCAAGGAAATATTACCACTAGACAGATTTATTTTAAGACAGAGGAGAAAGACAAAGGGAAAGGTTCAAGACTTTTAAAATGTAACGACAAATTTTCGCACACCTATTGGTACATACACTGCCGGTCAATATGGTGGATAGTATATTTACTGTTTTTGTCGTGCCAAGCTTTTTCTTCTGACAATAGTTAGTCATCCATATATAGATTGAAAAGATATAGTTCAATTATTAAACTACTAAGGTGAGTGCATGGCGTGACACTGTGAGCTGTGGATTTTCATTTGGAAGGCGTTTTGACTGTGCCCAGTGTGGTTTGCGTTGTGACCTGCAGATTTAGAAGATAGTGGATGACCTGGTTCCAGCGAGTTGGCGGTGCCTTGTGAGATTAATTGCCTGAGCACCTACTAATCTGTTCTAACTGCTGCTTGCATTGACTGCCAACTGTATTTCCAGTATCGAAGTGTTTGTGTTGGCAGTTTCACTTCTAACGGCTGCCTCATGCATTTAATACGTGTGTACGCTACAGGATTTTGGGTACTGCAGTCTGTGTTGTTTTTTTTTTTTTTTTTTGTTTCTTTCACAAGGATCCGCGATGGAAATTATGTGTTGTTTTATTTGGCACAGGAACAGAGCAACTATGCGGATGACCAGCTTGCTGTGTCGTTGGAATTGTGACTACCATATTTACTCAGTCACCTATATTAGTTCGTAGGTCCAAAGCTGCCCTGTGCGCTAGCTAAGTTTGTTAAACCAGCTGCGTGGTAAAAAAAAAGTCACAAACTTCTTGTAGTCCAAGTTCACGCTCAGGGATAGGCAGACAAGCAACTTATTTCCCAGATTTATGGTATCTGTCATGGAATTAAGGCTAAAGGGGTGCGATATTCATAGTACCGAGCCAAAAAAAGGTACAACTCATGGTTTCTGGATTAAACAAATATATATATATATTTGGAGTGTGTGTGTGTGTGTGTGTGATGAATTTATGTCAATTATTTTTCCAGCAGACTGAGCTACAAGGTTGCAGCGCCATGCCCTCTCCCAGTGCCCCCTTTAACCCCCTTCCTCACCCATCTCTCTCGCTCTCTCTCTCTCTTCTCTCTCTCTCTCGCTCTCTCTCTCTCTCTCTCTCTCTCTCGCTCTCTCTCTCTCTCTCTCTCTCTGCTCTCTCTCTCGCTCTCCTTTGCTCTCTCTCTCGCTCTCTTTCTCTCTCTGTCTTTCTCTCTCACTCTCTCTCTCTCGCTCTCGCTCTCTCTCTCTCTCTCTCTCTCTCTCTTGCTCTCTCTCTCGCTCTCTTGCTCTCTCTCTCTCTCTCTCTCTCTTGCTCTCTCTCTCGCTCTCTTTCTTTCTCTCTCTGTCTTTCTCTCTCTCACACTCTCTCTCGCTCTCTCTCGCTCTCTTGCTCTCTCTTGCTCTCTCTCCCTCTCTCTCTCTCTCTCTCGCTCTCTCTCTCTCTCTTCTCTCTCTCTCGCTCTCTCTCTCTCTCTCTCTCTCTCTCTCTCTCTCTCTCTCTCGCTCTCTCTCTTTCTCTCTCTCTCTCGCTCTCTCTCTCTCTCTCTCTCTCTCTCTCGCACAGACACACACGTTATCACACAAGCACACGCAAATTACTGATTTACTGATGTGAGAATCGAACCATAGCACACCAGCAATACACAGCTGCATCTCCCGCAGAAAATATCTTGAAGCAGCGTTTCTCAACCTAAGGACGCAACCTCGTTTTGATGTAGAACGACCATTTCACATTGGTCGCGAGAGACCGCCGCAAAACAAAAATTATGAAGTAAAGACGTAAATAATTGTATGGTTGGGGGTGGATACAACATGCAGAATTGTATTAAAGGGTCGCGGAATTATGAAGTAAAGACGTAAATAATTGGATGGTTGGGGGTGGATACAACATGCAGAAATGTATTAAAGGGTCGTGGCATTATGACGGTTGAGAACTACTGTCTCAACGTGTAGATGCTAACAGTTTCAATAGCACACGAATTATAAACTCGTCGTTCTCTTCCTCGCATACGTCCCTAACTGCTTGTATTCTTGTAGCTATTGCTCTTCCTTACTTTCTTTTTAGGACGTAATTGTTTGTTTTTTAAAGCCCCACTCTGGCTTTTGCCAGGGGCCGCAATATAGGCAGGCCATCAATATGGCCAATTGTCTGAACGCGGTTTCTGGGACCTCTCCACGGTGATCCTCATCCGCATGGTGGCACTTTGTGTCATGGGTGTTTATCGCTTGTGTGATGTCCTAGTGGGGCAGAAAGTCAAGTCAAGTCAAGCTATTGCTTTTGTAGCCAGAAAGTCTGCTTCTTCGTTTCCCCTCACTCCTACATGTCTTGAACAGTATATCCACGTGAGTACCTGTAGTTTTGACCTGCTGATACTTGATATCCACCCATGCCACATTTGTCCATTTTGAACTTCCTTCACTAACAAAGATGCTAATGATTTGTGTCTACCACTCCACAGGCGGAGAAGGAAGAGAAGGTGACGTTATTTGAGTTCAGAATCAAACTCAGGAACTACACCTATGACCCTTTCTACAACATCACAGGTCGATACTTCAAGGTAAGTGCAAACATTAAAGTTCCGTTGCATTTTCTCCAAAAAAAAGTAAAACCGTCACTTTCAACCAGCATCCCCCAAAGGGGCAGCTTTGGTTATAATTGTGACTAGGTTATGTGCACATAAAATAGCTTAGCAGTGCACGCCACCAAACTCCCTGAAAAGGAAACCTGCGATGTTGATGTGATCAAAGGAGACAGACCTAAATACCGTCCAGACCGGCGATGAAGTCGTCTACCGACGAGCCATTTGGTAAGCCGTTCGCTGATGATAATTATTAAAGTACAAAATATAAGCTTTTATAATTGAAATGTTATATTATAGCAAACAAACAAAAATATAATCGAATACATTGGATCAGGGAGCGGATGCAGCTTATGGCTGAGTTTACTTACGGCCAAAATGTTTGAAAATGGGGATAGTCACGGGTCAGAGGCCCCATTCCCGCATAGAAATATGATAGATACCATATAACTAACTGGCAATGATTCGCGGCCCACTTGCTAGGCCTCGGTGGGCCAGAGTTGGTCCGTGGGCCACCAGTTGAATAGCCCTGGCGTTAGAGTTAGCCAGTGCGGTTAACAGTTGCATGATATTTCAGGACTATGGATCATTCCACGAGGTGGAAGATTTAAAAAAAAAAAGTTTTCACGGTTTTTCGAACAATAGAACGAGAGTCATGTCGTGGAAGAGATTGGGACCCTCACCTTGAAATATTCCCAGGGACAACAGTGGTATACGGTTGCCGACCTTCTTTGCGGAGACGGCACATATTTAGGAAAAAGAGACCCAGCGGCTATGCACTTAATTGGCGACCTAAAAGTCTTGGATTCAAATCCCCATTGTAGACGATTTTAACAGCTCCTTGTTCTAGTTCGACTTATCCTTAAATTCGTACTTGAACAGTGTCAGTGTCCTGGGAGGTAAAAGACACCGGTGTACTTTGAAGTACGACTTCAGACTCGTCTAAACAAATATGGGTCCACATCCACAGACAGACAAATGGCAGGCGGCGCGTAGACATAAATCCAGACAGACAAGCGGCAGGCGGCGCATAGACAGACATCCACAGACAGACAGGTGGCACGCAGCGCAAGGACAAATACAGACTTTCCCGGACACGAAAATAACAAGATGAATGATCGACAATACAACTAATACGGTGACAGAGGACACACAGATAGATTCTCTGCGGGCACCAAGACGTACACTACAGATTGTCCGATAGACAGACAGACAAACAAACTGAAAGACAAACAGAATACCGACAGAGACGTATTTTTACGTTTTCACACAACGTTCTTAATTTTCAGTCAGGGCTCTGGTAGCAGTTCAAAGCCGACATGGTAGTACGCTGGTACTCCTGTCCCACCACTAACTAGGACATACTTAAACCTACAGGCAGTTCGACAAGTACGTAACACACACACACACACACACACACACACACACACACACACAACCAGATAGAGTTAAAAACACACCGCCGGCGAGTGGCCATGGCAGAGCGGCTAGACGCTCGCCTGCGGATGGGAAGGCCGTGGGTTCGCTCCCTGGCGGAGCCTGACTTTTTTCAAAAATGACCTTGGCTCTTAAGTCGACCCAGCCACAGCCGGGTAAATTCTATGCTGAACATTACCCACTAATTGGTCAGGTCAAGCCCTATATGCCCTGTACGCCTAAAGGCGTGGAAAAGAGTCCTTTACTTTTACTTTTTTACACACCGCAGGCATATAGATGATACGTGTATCTACTGCATGATTTACAGCATTGGCTATGGTATAGAACTCAAAGCAGGCATGGTCGTACGCTGCTGCTCCTCTACTACCAGTGGACATACTTAAACCTACAGCCAATAACACTCACCCAAACACACACACACACACACATAGAGGCAGACACAAACAGCCGGGCACTCTAAAACACACACACACACAGCCGGGCACTCTAAAACACACACACACAGCCTGGCACTCTAAAAAAACACAGCCGGGCACTCTAAAAATACACACACACACAGCCGGGCACTCTAAAACACACAGACACAGCCGGGCACTCTAAAACACACTCTGCCGAGCACTCTAAAAAACACAGCCTGACACTCTAAAAACACACACAGCCGGGCATTCTAAAACACACACACAGCCGCGCACTCTAAAACACACACACACAGTCGGGCACTCTAAATTACACACAGCCGGGCACTCTAAAACACACACACAGCCGGGCACTCTAAAACACACACACACACACACACACACACACAGCCGGGCACTCTAAAACACACACACTACAGGCAGACAAATGATACACGTACCAATTGCTTTATTCACAGCCTTGGCTATGGTACACAACTCGAAGCAGACATGGTCGTACGCTGCTGCTCCTCTCCTTCCACTACGACGTTCTGTCCATGAACATCCTGACAATCGGTGTCAAGCAACTGGATGCGGAACTTATTGATAGTCCACATGGATGTTTCGGTAATAAGTATTTTTTGTTTTATAAACATGACTGCATTTAGATGGTACATGCTGGTCATTAGATAGTGCATTTAGTCTTTAGAATTAGTTTATAGTCAACGTTGGTGTTTCGGTAATTAGTATTTTTCCTTTTACTACGCCCTTCAATTCACGGGTGCAATTTTTTACTGAGATGCATGGGGCAAGTCGCCGAAGCTACAGAGCTTTGTGTTCTGTGCTGCGCTCTCGGCAGGCCGCGAGTAGTTCTGCGGAGAGAGACCGAGCCATATGGGATAAAATCCGGTGCAGTGAGGTCGATCCTCTTGACTTTAACCTTAATACTTTAGTCATTAGATAGTGCAATTAGTCAACGTGGATGTTTCGGTTATTAGTATGTTTCACGATACAAACATGCGGCGTCCGTGGCTTGGGCGTTGCGAGTCCGACTCGTAATTCCAACATACTGCTATCGAACCCCATTGCTGGGTGCGTGGATATTTATCATGGTTTGGGGCGTCGCAGGTCGACCCAGCCTCAAATGGGTACCAGGATGGGCTGTCCTGGGGAAGTACAGAAGGCCGGCATAATGCTGACTGACATGACCCACCTAGTGCTTCCTGACGGTCTGTAACAATATGGGCGCTTTTCCCATATTCCCGATACGCCTAAAGGCGTGAATAGGTATCTTTACTTACTTTAACTTATTTATAATGCAAACATAATTGCTTTTAGATAACATATGTCGGTTGTGATTTGGTGCATATTAATCTTCATAGTAAGAGTCACTTAGATTTTTCCCCCCGGGCTAAACAAGCGTGTTTGGAAATCGGCTGGTCGTAGGCTGGCTGGACTGACCCCACTTGGGTGGGGGGGGGAGGAGGTTGCAACTGCATAAGGCAGAGGAGATCTCTCGTCAGTGGGACAAGGTAACAAGTCAAATGGAAGATACTGAAGACCCGAATCTGGAAAGAATGGTGAGACTAGAAGTGCCAGCAGACTTTGGTTGAAACTTGAGACGCCGGGAAAAGACGAGACGAGTAAGTAGTTAACCAGATGGCAGCGGGTAGCATCAGTGTAGAGACTCTTCGCTGGCTGTTGATGAAAGAGACTGAGCTAATATGGACTTGTCCTGAGTGCTGTGATGTCGAATCTTTACCCATATAAACCCGGATGCTCATATTTTATATGGTTGGTCGTGTGGGTGTTTGCATGTGTAGATGTGTGTGTTAATCTTTAATATGTACCGATTGACCATCTGAATATTCTGATAAATTATTTTCTACAAGACAAATATGGTTCCGCAGTAGTGCAGTCATTTGATGCTCGCCCGCTACCGCGTCGGAGAAAAACCGAGATGGGGTGGGGGCGGGTTTAAATTATTGACATGGATTCCTGAGTTTCCCCAGGGGTCGACCAAGCCTAAAATGCATAGCAGGAAATATCCCGGAGGTTACGGCGACATGTCTGATGTCAACACATCGTTATCGACAGTCGGTTGTTTTATTAAAAATTATTTTCTTAAATTGAACATTATAATTAAAGCGGTCCTAGTGTGAATTCCAGGGGTCCCATTTGGGGGTGGAGAAAAAATACCTATTCCCTCTATTAACACTCTCACCCCCCCCCCCCCCCCCCCCCCCCATCATCGCAAAGAAGCATGTCGTAGAACGTAACTAATTTGGGGTGTTTCTTTTAAAGTCGGAGTGCATTTATCTCAGAGGCAAGGCACGAACAACAGTTTGCACACAACGACGGATTCACACACAAAACTCAGGTCCTGGAACTAAGCCAATGGCCAAAAAAATTTCAAACAACCAGGACTTTCCGCTTTAGTTTACAGCTATTGAATACAAGCCAAGAACAATAAACTTAACATACATTTATTCACGCAGGTCAGTTGCCCACTGAGCAGCAAGTGAAAAGAATTCGGGCGCTACTTTTGAGCAGAAACAATGTGGGTCAAAGCTCTTCCTATGGGAAATCTGCTAGGTAGGTTACTGTGTATTGTAATGGAAGCAAGATACAACAACAGCAAAGTGAAGGGCGTTGTTGGCCTATTGGGTGTAGTGTACCCATCTGTTGCACTGATTATCGATTAACGGTGAAGGCAAAAGCAGTTCCAGCTGCATAGCAAACGGGTCACACAGATAGCTGCTCCCTTTCTGTGCCCACAAAGACCCCCTACAGTATGTCTATCACTGTCATTGTAAAACAGTTCACCCATACCGCTATTCAAGCACAGGCAGTAACATATACGCGTATTAAATGCACAGTGCAGGTGTCGGAAGTGCCAAAACAAACAATCTGACACTAGAAATGTAGTTTATCGTCAATGAAAGCAGCGGTTGCAACAGATCCGTACTGGTCTTCATCAAGTGCCTTGCCAGCTGGCGTAGGCGTTCATGCGTCGCCACAGATCTCGGTCTTAAGTGCTCTGGATCCTTTCTACGGATGATATTCCTCCATGCCACTGTCTTAGGCCATCCACCATCGTTTCTCTTGGTTTGCCTTTTCTACCAGTGATCTTTCCAATCGTCATATTTTCTTATGCTCCTTTTCTCATTACATGCCCGAAGAACTGTGTTTGCCCCCTTCTCATTGTTGTATAAAATGTTCTTCTTTCATCAGCTATTTGCAGGCTATCGTTGTTAGTTATTCTGGCAGTCCAAGCTATTCTCAAAATTCTTCTCAAGAACCACATCTCAGTAGCCTCCAATCACTCCTTAATTTGTGATAGTACTGGTACACGCAATTAATCGCATAAGGCACCACCAGTTCTCTGGTATGCGGCCGGTTCTCTGTCGATTCTCTATACTACTGTCGAAACGAGCCTAACTGATTGCTGCCAAATGACCTACAGCTGGGATCGAAAATGGCACCTAAGAATTACGAAGCGCGTTCGCAACGCCTAAGCCAAACAAGCCGATATATATTTATATTTTTAATGTCTTAGAATGAAGGCACCGTTGAGCAAGTACATACTCTTTATTTATTTTTGTTTTTGTTTTGTTGTTGTTCGTGATTCTTTTTGTTTAAATAACACTAGGATCTTAAATCAAACACTGTGGTGTAGCGGTTAGGAAGGTAGTGTGTTCGGTTCCTGGAGGAGCTGGAACGTTTTTCAAAAATGTCAACTCCCATATCGACCCAGCCTTGAGTGGGTACCAGGTATATTCCTGAGAAGTAAAGGCGGTGGGCGTTATGTTGACCACATTACCCACTGAGTGCCGCTTAGGCTATAAAATAAAGGTCCAGCCCTATATGCCCAATATACCTGAAGGCTTGGAAAAGGGTCCTTTACTTTACTTTACTTTACTTTACTTTACTTTACTTTACTTTACTTTAATTTACTTTACTTTACTTTACTTTACTGTGCTTCTTTACTTTACTTTACTTTACTGTGTTTTACTTTACTTTACTTTACTTTACTTTACTTTACTTTACTGTGCTTTACTTTACTTTACTTTACTTTACTTTACTTTACTTTACTTTACTTTACTTTACTTTGTTTTACTTTACTTTACTTTACTTTACTTTACTTTACTTTACTGTACTTTACTTTACTTTACTTTACTTTACTTTACTTTACTTTACTTTACTTTACTTTACTTTACTTTACTTTACTTTACTTTACTTTGCTGTGCTTTACTTTACTTTACTTTACTTTACTTTACTTTACTGTGCTTTACTTCACTTTGAATCTAATCTATATTTACATATGTCTTTTGAATGCTTACCTGTTCGTCTGCTTGCCTATCTGCCTGCCTGCCTGTCTGTCTGCCTGTCTGCCTGCTCGCCTGCCTACCTGTCTGTCTGTCAATTATTCTATCTATCAATCCAGATCATTCACTGTCCTGATTTCTTCACCTGCTCGGGAGTAATAAATGTGTGTCTTTCATGGTTCATGAACTCAGAGAAGAGTTTGCTTGCAACCAGATGATCCAAGAAAATGACGGTGACGCAGATTTTGTCTATGACTGCTGTTTCAAAGACAGCGCTGGTGAATTGGTTTGTTCCACGAAAGGAGAGAATTTTTGGATTAACATTCTGTACATGGCAATCACCATTATCAAGGTAAGAACATCTGTTTTCCTGTTTACTTTTTTTTTTAGGACAATCGAGACTGATTATTATTGTTTTTGTTGTTGTTGTTGTTTTTCTTTTCCTCTTCTTCTTTTTCTTTTTCTACTTCTTTTTCTTCTTCTTCCTCCTTTTCTTCTTCTTCTTCTTCTTCTTCTTCTTCTTCTTCTTCTTCTTCTTCTTCTTCTTCTTCTTCTTCTTCTTCTTCTTCTTCTTCTTCTTCTTCTTCTTCTTCTTCTTCTTTTTCATCTTCTTTCTCTTTTGCTTCTTCTTCTTCTTCCACTTCTTCTTCTTCTTTTTTTCTCCACCTCCTCCTCCTCTTCTTCTTCTTCTTCTTCTTCTTCTTCTTCTTCTTCTTCTTCTTCTTCTTCTTCTTCTTCTTCTTCTTCTTCTTCTTCTTCTTCTTCACCGGCTATAAACTCCAGTGGAATGTTCTGGTTGTTCGTTCACCTTTGGGCTTTAATCTTGTTCCAGCACCTGAAGTTGCGTGCACGTCGTTTTTTTTGGATCTGACATACGTGCACGCAGACTGTTGGTTCTTTACCTCTCAGGCAGACGCACTCTGACTTCGAAATAAGTAGTTCTTGTTGGCACAGAAAGGGAGCAACAGTGGGGAGCCCCTTTTGCTATATGGTTTAAACCGCGATTACCCGATTATCTGAACTGGATGTAAACTGAGCTAACTGATAAATGGCAATGCTCTATGTGGGAGTTGCCGTGGTGAAGTGCTAAACACTCGCCTGTGAATCAGAAGGTAGTGGGTTTGGGTACCAGTCTTTTTTTTATGAATTTGTTTCCAAGTCGACCGAGCCTTGAATGGGTACCAGGTGGAGTCCTGGGAAGTAAAGGCAGCCTTTAAGATGCTGACCATATCACCCACTAAGTGCCGTTTGGTCTGTAAAATATATGTCTAGCCCTATATGCCCAAACGCCTGAAGGTGTGGAAAGGGTCCTTTACTTTTTAATGCTGGATCTATTCCCCCGCAGATACTGATGTTTCTGTTCTGCCCAAAGTTTGTGCCCGCCAGCGCTTACAGTGCTACGTACATGGCATCTGAGTACATGGTCACGCTGAAGCAGAAGCTCAAAATGAAGCTCTTCGTATCCGAGAAGGTACAGGACAGTGTGTTGATTGTCTGTCTGTCTGTTCCACTAGCAAAATAAGTTTTTGTCTGCCTATTAAAATCTCCATAAGAGATAAGATCAGGAATGAGATCATAAGAGAAAAAGTCGGCACAGAACGAATTCTAAATTACATACGAAGACAGCAGGTGAAATGGTTTGCCCACTTAGAGAGAATGCCTTGTGACCTCATACCATACAAAGCATACATGGAAAGAGAAGAAGGACGTAGAGCACGAGGTAGACCAAGAACAAGATGGAAGGATAACATCAGAGAAACTCTACAACAGCACGATGTACCTATGATCGAGGCGGCCAGAAGAGCTAGAAACAGAACCTTATATCTCCCTCGACACCCACAGCGGTAAAAGAGGAAGTGAAGAAGAAGATGAAGATTAAAATCTCGTAATTTATATATTCATCTATATGCCACCAGCCGACCCCTCCATCTATCCATCCGTCCATCAACCTATCATTCCATCCATCATTACGTCAATTTATTCATCTATCTTTCTATGCATCTACCAGTCTGTTGGTTGATCTATTCGTCTATCTATACACAAGTCTTACAGATAACCATCCAGGTGAGGAATAGATACCAGCAACTAAAGCGCCAAATTTCATAAATGAAGCAAATAAGTGAATCCTTAATACTGAAATACAAATCCAACAACAGTTAAGCGCACCTGCCTGTTTTACCAGGGCAGCTGCAGTGTAAAAATCATATCTTTTTGTTTACATAGTTCAGGGCGGAGGTAACAATCGCGGCGGCTTCAAGAAATCTTAGTGTTCTGCCATTTTCTGACGTGTGAAGGCTTTGAAATGCGTCGTTCTTGAATACGGTTGTACTTCAGTTATACAGGAGTCACTTTTTTGCTTCATTTATGTAATTGTTACTGTAGTATGCACCTGACGAGATACAGCGAAATGTGCCGGGCAAAAGAAATGAGCAATCTATTGTTTGTGTCTTGTTTCTTGAAATTAACAACCGGGAAACATCGCTTTGTTATTTAGATATGTTTTTATTTATGCATTTGTGTATTATTTTTTTTATTTTATGTATGATGTCTGTACTGCAGACAGATACGAATGTGAAGTTTAAACATCGACTGACCCTAGAGGACATCTCAGAATGGTGGAGGTTTAGAGACGCCATAGAGACGTTACCGACTGATGAAGTGATTCCTGTCGAGATAACCGAGCTCAGAATTAAGGTATCTGTCATCGTCTTCATAGTCATCATCACCATCATCGTCATCGTCAGCAGCATCCCAGCATCATCATCATCTTATTATTATTATTTAAGCTCTCATTAGAGGGCATGTTGGTTCAGTTATTCTATGGCTGGTTGATTTGTCGGTTGTGTGTTTAGCTGGTTGGCAGGATTTTATTGCCAAGCTTGAGGTGAGGAAGGCGCTTTGGAAGCAAGTGAAAAATGCAGAGGCACGAACAGATCATTATAATTTGGAGAGAATGGTACAGCTAGGAGTGACCTGGGGATCTGGTCGTCGCTCTACACTCCAAAGAAAGACAAGACGGATATATAGTCAAACTGCTACTGGCCACTTTTGCAAACTTGAGCTCTTTGCTGAATTTTCTTTGGCCTTTTGGTTGGCCAGGTAATTGTTTGGATTGTTGACTGGTTGGTTGGTTGGTTGTTTAATAGGTAGGCTGGTTGGTTTGTTGGTTCATTGTGGACACTAAGTGCACATTGCACATTTTATTGTCTGGCATCGTTCGTATTTCTCGCCAGGGGCATTACCACATAATTTTATCAATTTTTAATGAATTGGGAAAAGAAAGAAAAGGGGGGGGGGGGGGGGGGGTCATTTCCTGTTAACGGAAGTTCAAGAAACCCATCTGGTTAACACCGATGTTTGAAATTTATTACATGCTTTTTTTTTTTTTCATAACATGGCATTGATAATTTTAACGATTACAGCTTCTGCCAGTTTTATTAATTGCCTGTTCAGTGCGGGCTAAACAACAAAGAATGCACTGTCCCTATTCAGCTGCTTCTGTTGTTTCTGCTGCTTCTGTTGTTTCTGCTGATTCTGTTGTTTCTGCTGTTTCAGCTGCTTCTGTTGTTTCTGTTACTTCTGCTGCTTCTGTTGTTTCTGATGTTTCAGCTGCTTCTGTTGTTTCTGATGTTTCAGCTGCTTCTGTTGTTTCTGCTGCTTCTGTTGTTTCTGTTGTTGTTTCTGTTGTTTCAGGTGCTTCTGTTGTTTCAGCTGCTTCTGTTATTTCATCTGCTTCTAGTCGACCACTGCTGTTGGCTCTGGCTCAGACCCCTGAGCCTTCCAAAGTGTTCAGGGGCAACCCTATATTTTTGTGAGGGGCTAAGCGGAGATACTAGTAAACGTAAAATCTGCCTAGACAAGCCACAACAGCCAAAAAAAAATGCTTGGGCTGGTTCTGAAACGTCCTGTAAAGGATACACAACTAACCTTAAATAGGCGATGAAGAACATAATTCATCTGTAAGCAACTTTATTGGTACTTTTTTTGGTTTATTTTCGTAAGCAGCTGTTAACTTGTGCCGCCCCTTCCCCCCCCACCTCCAAACCCCTGATTTTTTGTTTTTTTCATGTGAATTATCTCTATCTTTATCATCACCATACGAGCTAGCATTCGTATTTTTGTATTCGCTTTCACTGGAAACCTAAATTTAAACACAAACAACATTTTCAAACACAATAACACTAAAATTAGAACAACTATAACATACTAAAATACTTCGTAATATAACTGAATCACAAAGAATTTGACATTAAAAAAACTGTAACGTCAAACTATGAGGAAGGGTGTGAAGAGAACAATCTGCCAGTTGTCTGGATGGGCATTCCTACAATAGTCTTTGAAGGTAAAACTCGAGAGCATTTGACTAGTCATGTCAAATGGTAACTTTTTATTCCTTCATTCGGATTAAACACAAATGTTGTTAACAATGGTCCTGAAATCCCATGCTATCATTGTGGAAGACCTTTCTTGACATGCGCGGGTCTTGCTAGTCACACTCGCCATCACCATGGGCAGTGAGTCTCATGTCTCCTCATAGCGCAATATAACACTATCGTCTGAAAAAACGGAAAGGTGCCAATGATTCCTTCATTCATTATCATGCTGTACCATTCTATGTTAGATGGGTCTGGCAGTCCGTCTCTCTATTTCAATCCATCCTATGCTGTCATTTCAATGTCATGGATGGAAACCAGTCAAGCAGCTTTGGTCTCTGTCATCAACAACGGTACATTTCCATCACGATTATTTCCAGTGCACTCTCAATAACTTTTTTAAAGGTATAACACAATTTTAAATAATGATGCAAAATTTGACAAATGTACCAAAACACCCGGCATGGTATTAAAAGTACAGTCTTTGTCTTCTTCTTCTTCTTCTTCTTCTTCTTCTTCTTCTTCTTCTTCTTCTTCTTCTTCTTCTTCTTCTTCTTCTTCTTCTTCTTCTTCTTCTTCTTCTTCTTCTTCTTCTTCTTCTTCTTATTCTTCTTCTTCTTCTTCTTCTTTCCAGCATTCCGAGCCCTTGAGGTTCATTGCTGCATTCATCTCTCTGGTTGGTTGGCCTTTTCTTTTCAGTTGGTGATACCAAGTGTTTGTAGGTCTGTCTGGATATTAATTCTCTTTAGCTTTCTTGTTCTGCCTCGTGGTATACGACCGTTTAGATCCCTTGTGTGTACAGTTTTTACCTCTCTCTCATCTGACATTCTCTCAATATGGCCCGGCCATTTCATTCTATGAGCCCTCAAATATGGTAAGCAAAAGTAAACAGTACCAAATTTGTGCAAAAGTACCAACTTCGACAGCCCACGAGACTTTTACTGCTGCTGCGGCCGCTTTAAATAGATACATTAATACGCACCATAACATTAAAATGCTACATTGTTTATGTCGTAACAGGTGAAAGGAAAGAGAATCATACCGGAGAACGACCCACCGACAGGTTTACTCAAAACCTTGTATGACAACCTGATGCGATGTAAGATCAAGAATCTAGAAGCCTTTAACGATTGTTGTGAGAGCAGTATCTTCGCTAGCATGGAGCCCAAATTCCGGCGAAAGATCACCTGGCATGGACTCGTGAAGGTAACTTCTCGGATCTCCTCTCTCTCTCTCTCTCTCTCTCTCTCTCTCTCTCTCTCTCTCTCTCTCTCTATCTATCTATCTATCTATCTATCTATCTATCTATCTATCTATCTATCTATCTATCTATCTATCTATCTATCTATCTATCTATCTATCTATCTATCTATCTATCTATCTATCTATCTATCTATCTATCTATCTATCTATCTATCTATCTATCTATCTATCTATCTATCTATCTATCTATCTATCTATCTATCTATCTATCTATCTGTCTGTCTGTCTATCTGTCTGTCTGTCTGTCTGTCTGTCTGTCTGTCTGTCTGTCTGTCTGTCTGTCTGTCTGTCTGTCTGTCTGTCTGTCTGTCTGTCTGTCTGTCTGTCTGTCTGTCTGTCTGTCTGTCTGTCTGTCTGTCTGTCTGTCTGTCTGTCTGTCTGTCTGTCTGTCTGTCTGTCTGTCTCTCTGTCTGTCTGTCTGTCTGTCTGTCTATCTGTCTGTCTGTCTGTCTGTCTCTGTCTGTATATCTGTCTGTCTCTGCCTGTCTGTCTGTCTGTCTGTCTGTCTGTCTGTCTGTCTGTCTGTCTGTCTGTCTGTCTGTCTGTCTATCTATCTATCTATCTATCTATCTATCTATCTATCTAATCTCTTTCTCTCTCTCTCTCTCTCTCTCTCTCTCTCTCTCTCTCCACCATCTCGCACTTGATAGTAATATTATGTATATTATTATATACGCATACATACAGTAAAGGTGTGGAATTGATACATGACAAGGCAGATGTGGTCAAGGCCCTTTTAAAACAATCAAAGGAATCAGTAGAGAAACAAGATTATTATGACCTGGAGAGTATGAGGCACCTGCATGTAACCACTCGGCCGGCTCACTACACTCAGGGGAAAGGCAAGACGGACATATAACCAGATTGTGGCCGGTATCATCAGTATTGGAGCTCTGCGCTGGCTGCTGAAGATGAGAACGGGGCATACATCGGAATGCACCAGGTGCCGTGATGTCATTTCTTGACTCAACTCAACTCAGCTACAGTAAAGGATAGTTTTCCACAACGTTAGGCGTATGGGCAAAAAGGCCTATGTTTTATAGAACAATCGGCACACGGTGGGTGCCGGCTGCCTTTTACTTCCCAGGACTTTATCTAGTACATATTTTATGATGGGTCGACTAGGGTGTCAAGGTTATTTCTGAAAAAATCCGTCTCTATGCGGTTTTGAACCTTCACTCTTCGGGCCGGATGCTAGCGCATGTGAGTATAACATGCTTTAAAGGTAAGATACACTTGCCTTGTGACAGATGAGTGCTTGAAGGGTCAAATTAAATACAGGCCTACGTGCCTAATTTGTGGCTCTTTGACAATAAAGTTCGTTGGTTGGTTCGTTTATTTTCTTTCTTTCTTTCTTTCTTTTTCTTTCTTTCTTTCTTTCTTTCTTTTTCTTTCTTTCTTTCTTTCTTTCTTTCTTATTTGTAGGCAGATTTTTGGTTCCTTGCCTTTCAGCCTGATGTACTCCGACTTCGAAGAATGCACCAATTAGTCGACTTCTACGAAATATTTGTTTTGTGGAGACGGTGGATCTATTCTCTTCCTACGTAGAGTAGAGCAGGGCTATTCAACGCTGTTGAAAATAAATGTGCTACAGACACTTGCAGGGTAGGATGTCATTCCGGTAAACAAAAGAATGAAGTGGTGTGTGGTGCACAGAATGCGTGTATGAATGTATGACGGTTACCAACAAAAACTGCTCTGCAGAAGTCATTGGCAAAACCATAAGAACGGTGATGAGAGAGGCCAAAGCTACTGGACTAGATTTCATCCATGATATTGAACTGATTTCACCAGATAGAACGGAACGAAGGAATAGACTGCGAGCACTATGTGACATAAAATAGTATAACAAGATAATTAATGTAATAATCACCGGGTTCTGTTAGCTATGAATCTTTTTAACTTGATGTTTCCTCTTTCTTTCCAGATCCTAATGAAGGGATTCATGTTGCTCCTCATCCCAGTCCCCTACTACATCAGACTCTTCATTTATTTCAAGTTCGAAGCGGATGAAGTTAGCAAACGCCGCGAAGCTATCAGGAGAAACGGACTCAGCGAATCGTTCAACTTTGTGAAAACCAATGTCATCCAGTACTTCACCCCAACGCATGGTGTTTTCATAGCATCATATGTCTTGTACTTCGTTTGCGCCGTCATCATCGCCTCTACCAGCAAAGCATTCAGGATTAAATTAAAAGACGTGGCTCGATCGGCTCTGGGTGATATGGACTTTGTTTCTCAAACGGGAGTTTTGGGAATCATTATAAGGACTTTGTTGTACCCATTTAAACGTTGTGGTCTTCTGGGACTTATCATAGGACCTGTATATTTCCTTTTAGCGCTGCCTCTTTGCATGCTTGTGTTCACTATTTATTGTATTCCCACCGTTTACATGACCTTCAGACTGCCGTACTACGCTCGAAAAATTATGGGAACCACTGCGACCATGGCTGAAGCTGATAAACAAGAAAAGCTACGCAAGATGAAAAAGCTGGGTCGGAAAATTTCCAAAATTGATAAATTTGCTCATAGTGGTGGAGTTCAACGTAAAGGGCACAAGTTCATCCCAGACGATCTAACTTTCCAGGGATGTCAGACGATACAGAACGTTGCCATCCAGATCTTCTGCAGCATCTTCTTTCTGTGTATATTGTACTCGGTTGCGCTGATCATCGCGGAGTCTATAGGATTATTTGTGGAGGTAAGTGAACTCTTCTGTACCAAAATTAAACTCTAGTAGAAAAATACCAGGTCTGACCGCTGGCACTCTTTATAGGCACCTGTGATCTTCTCATCTAAAAATTACCGGCAGAGAGAATGGAAAGACTAAGAAGAATCAAATTATTGAACACAATATATGAATGTATAGATGTGCGAAAGCAAATCAATTTATGGGACAATTAGCGCCGCTTCTGACGCATATATAGACCCCTTTGTCAGCCAAAGCAAATCTCATAAGAACGGTTTTTTGACCGACATTGTGCTACCAGTGCCAAACATGGAACCCTATTACAATTAATGAGTGGAAGATTGTAACAACAGAGATGATATGTCTTAAGAGAGTAGAATAGGAATAAGAAAAAGAAGAAGAAGAAGAAGATAAAGAGGGAGAAGGAAGAAGGAAGACAGACAGACAGACAGACAGACAGACAGACAGACAGACAGACAGACAGACAGACAGACAGACAGACCGACCGACCGACCGACCGACCGACCGACCGACCGACCGACGACCGACCGACCGACCGACCTGCCGACCGACCAACAGAAAAAAAAAAGAAAGAAAGAAAGAGAGAGAAGGCCAACTTCATGTCCCTTGTAATTTCAGGTCATCTGCTTCACCATGATGGGTATAATCGTGAACGCCGCGTCAGTCCTCAAATACCTCTCCATGATCCTGCTGGTCTTCGTGTATATGAACGACTGCTACAGCAACGTCTACGAAAACTACCTCACATTCAACAAGACCATCATTGACGACATCATTGAGAGGACCACGGCGGATCTGCGGAAGATTGCCAGCATGCCGTCGAGCCAGCAAACCAATACAGCATTCCACGTAATAGTGTTTTACTGGCTTATTTATGTTTGTGTTGTCTTATGGAAATTGCAACATTATCCTTCCGTCTAATTGGTGTCCTTGGAACATTGTGACAAGGCGGTAGACAGGCTGTGATAAAAGATCTTTTCGATCCAACACATCATACATCAACAAATCTATAATCGGTCCTGTTCACGTTTCCAGGCCCAGGATTAGAGTAACTATCCTTGCCATTCATGCCTCCTTGTGTCGCTAGATTTCTCCTATGTTGCAGGCGTGTTGGTATGACTTGGTTTGGCGTTCGCTAGGCGTATGTAACGTTTGTGGGAGGTTGTGTTGTTGTGAGTCTATTTCATGCATGTTGGGAAAAGTGGGTCTACCACCCCCACCCCCTACCTTCCTTTCCCCCATGACATATGGTGCTTTAGGACCCAAATAAATATGTAAGGAAGTGTGAAGCATGCGATCAGGGGATGCATGCCACTGTTGCCGAGCAGCTAGGGGATATATTTATAAATGACCATTCTCCACACGCACACAGGGATTTCCTCAGATGACAAATCATGGCCGCCGACTCTTATTCGCACAGCACATGCTGATGGTGATTTTTACTGGAGTGAATGAAGGTCAACGCAAACAGGAGAACCACAATAGACCAGGCACAAGTAACAGGTTAACAACCACAATATATCTGGCACAGGTTACATTTCCTATCGTAACCAATTACATTTAGCGTCATTTGAAAATTGTCTCCAGGATATACCGATGTGTTGGGAAACGAGCAGGCAGACAGACTGGCCGGTTCTGCACCACTTGATGGTCAATTGATGTACGACAAGCTAGATGTTGTTAGGGGTCTTTAGGAACGAGTGAACAGTGCAGGGGCACAGATAGATCATTTCGGTCCGAGGAGAATGACTTTGCGAGGAGTTACCAAGGGATCTGGCCGACGCTCAACACTCAGGAAAAGGCGAGACGGATATACAGGCAGTTACTGGCACCATCGGAATAGGAACTCTTCACTTGCTGTTGTAGATGGGGACGGGGTGTTTATGGGAGTGTCCTGAGTGCTGTGATATCGATTTTTAATTCAACGTTTAACTGTCTAAGAACGCTGTCTTCTTCTACTTTGTTCAGAGGCTGTAAGCTCCGGCAGCAAGTCCTGGTTGTTCGTCCATCTGAACTTTGGCTTTGTGCCATGGCCTGAGTTTTGCATGTACATCCGTTTTACTGGCTTATTTGTGTGCAGTTGGTTGTTCCTTGCTGCTCGAGCAGATGCGCTTTAACTTAAATGAAGTCCTCAATTAGTCGACTCCTACGACCTGCCAGTTGGAGGAGCAGAGGGTCTATCCTTGTTTTCCCCACAATATGTCCCCGGAATCCACACGGGGATAAGAACGATGTAATACAATACAACACTCCAAGTATGATGTAGTAGTGAAAAATTATTAACTTAGTAAAGGCAAGCTTGATGATCTGGAATTCCCCGATGACCTTTCTCTTCTATCCCATTCACAGAATCAGTTGCAAGATATATCAGATATATTTTACTAGACCACGTCAATTAGGCTAAAAAAACATAAATAAGGGGAAATGAAAAGAATAATCTAGGCAAACTTGGCTATAGAAAGATTCTCGGAATATCTAGACAAAGAATAGGAGAAATACTGACATTTTAACAGATCATACAATATACATTATACAATTATTTTGGTCATATCAAATGCCATGGCGGATTGAAAAAAATTATAGCAAAAGACATGGTACAAGGAAGGAGGAGCCGGGGCCGACCAACACGAAGATGGGCACATGATATAAGGGACTCTTTGAGTAGAAAAGTACACGAGGCGGGAAAGTTGGGAGAGATCGAGATTATTTCAGGCAAACCGTGAAGAGAGAGACGTTTGGCAAAGGACATGCTATATGATGATAAGGCATACATTAATCCAATTTCTTGATGATATCCTACTATGAAATGTGGAGTCGTTACGCTCCCTCCCCTCATTTTTTTTCCTGTAGGTTGTGGGGCCCTATTTAAGGCGAAAGAAAACTCATAGATTTGCTGCCTCTCTAATAAGTATGTCGCAAAAAGTGACTAATAACATTTTTTTTTAGGGCGGGGGGGGGGCGGGGCGGTGTGAGTGCATATCCTGAGTGGTGAGAAACCAACAGTCTGCACACAAATAAGCCATACCTATGAAACAGATTTGCAGGCAAAACTCAAGTTCTGCAACAAGACCAAAGTTCAGAAGTGAATGAACAACAAGAGCTTTCCGCCTGAATTTACAGCTGGTGAGAACTAAGAAGAACATTGGGAGGGGGGATGGAGAGAGAGAGACTGATAACGATACTGAAATATAATACAGAAGGCAAGGGGGATTTTCATAGCACAGGAAAATTTGTGGAAGTCAAAGGAAATTAAAAACTAATGGGGGTTCTTCTTTTCTCTTTCTGGAATGCATCAGGACCGAAAAAAAAAAAACACCCTAGGACGGCCTTTCTTTTCGTTTCGTAAATAGCACTTTTCAGTGTGTTTGATGTATTTCTGCGTCCATTTTCTGGATCTTTTACCCTTGTATCTATATAATTTTGCTCTCTAGGGTGTCCTGTCTGGTGCCAATCTTGTGACGTGACCAAAACCACTCGATCTGTTGTCCAACGATAAAGTTCAGTTTTGGTTCTATGCCGACTCTTCTCCTGATTTCATCGAATCTAAGTCGATCTTTCCTTAAAAACTGAAACTTAACTTGGTGCTTTATTAATATCCTACCCCAAACAGGGAAAATCCACAGGTCACGGGACAGTCTAATATATCAGGGGGTGGTAGATAGGCTGCATGCAGTCGTGAGACCTAGGCTGCCATCTCTTGTGGAACGTTGGTGGGTTGGGGTTAGGGCCAGTTCTACATGTTTTGGGGTCGTTAAAAGTATCAGAAAGCCAGGAAACCCAGTCTTACCTCCCTCTTGAATGGTGAAGTTTCTTGTGATCTTCCTTTCCTCTAATCTGGGAGAGGATATTAATAAACAACTACCAACTCTCAATAGCTAATTTTCATATAACGTTTCTGATTTTTAAAGGTGAAGTGCGTGGATGAAGAGAAAGAAGTAACCCCTTCTTTAAACTTTGAAAAGAAAGAACCCCGCTGGAAACTAGGTCAACTTCTCCTATTTTTAGATTCTTACGACACGCCGAGAATACCTCTGAGGTTGTTTCAGAGGCTTTGTCAGGTAGGCAATCATTTTATGACTTGATGCATGACAAACTGTATGTGGTTCGCGAATAAAACCAGACCATAATTATAACAAAAGCTGTCTTCAGCAGTTTGTTTCCTTCTTCGACTCTGTAGGGTGAAATGAGCAGAGAATTACAAAACGGTCACTATTCCAATTCCAAGTCCTTTTGAGACAAAAAAGAAAAGCTCGACCACGTTTAGACTGCTGCTAGCTAGCCGAGGCTGCTAGCAGTCTCCGCCTATATTTGTGGTCTGGGTTATTTGTGTCACTTTCGTGACTGAATTCTAGTGTTTGTGCCATTTCTGGGCTTGATGCTTCCATCCGAATTAGACCGCTCGTCCTCCCCCCTGTTGTTACTTGTGCAGGTCTTCCCTCGTCTTACTTAGTGTTTCCAGTTTGAGTTGTTTCCCTTTGATTTGGCCAGGCATATTTCGTAGGTGGGCGCGCTTTTCCACACAACGTCCTTTGGACCACCATTTACAGTTTAAAAATTTTGAGTATTTATTTCGCCAAAAAGTGCTGAAAACAGTTTTTGATTTTGGAAACGGTCACTAAAATGGGAAACAAACGGTATTTAAAAAAGAGAATGTCCAAGAAAAACATTAAGAAGAACTTAAAACGAGAAGCTATAAACGCTGGGCTGAACGCCATGTCAGAAACTGCGAGAGTTGCATGCAATAGAGCGGAGTTGAGGAATCAAATGTGAGCCCTATGTGACATCAAACGGCAAACGAAGGATAATGGTGATGATGATAATGATGATGATGTCTTCAGCAGGGTTGAACGTGGTCAGTTTCACCTTTCCAAACAAAGCAACAACAACTGGGTGTGGTAAAGGACCTTTGCGAGCTAGCGAACAATGCGTAAGAGCGAAGAGAACCTGCAGGTAACGTCAAGAGGACTGACTTCATTGCACCGGCTCGGTCTTTTCCCGCATAACGGTTAGTTGCATGGCGAAAGCACGAAGTCTTAGCTCTGTAGTCCTAGTAACAAACTCTGGGGATCTCCATAAAAACTGCACCCGTGAACTGAACGACGAAGCCGGTAAACGAACCCACGCCCTTTAGAGTGCGAGGCAAACTGTTTACCCACTGAGACTCCTAGATCCTCGAAGTCTGCAGAGACTTTTGCTGACGGGAGTGACCAGTGGATGTGGCCCAACTCGATAGACTCAGGGTATTATAAATTAATCAAGTAACAAAAAAGTGTATTGATCGGCACTCATAGAAAGAAGTAGAAAGATAGAAGAACTAGAGACTCAGGGGAGAGGCCAGACGGACATATAATCAATCAGACTGCGATTGGTAATATTAGGATTCGAACTCTCAGCTTGTCTGCTGGAGGTGGGATCGGAGCGCTTGTGGGAATGCCTCAAGTGCTGCGAAATCATTATCTTATTCTTAACTCAGCTACATAAATTACTGTCTCGTCATATAGCTTTAGGTGGGATCGGAACGATTTTTGGAATGTCCTAAGTGCTGCGATAGTATCACTTTTTAATTCTTAACTCAGATATATAAATTACTGTCTCGTCATGTTGCTGAAGGTGGGATCAGAGCGCTTATGGGCACGTCACAAGTGCTGCGATAGTATCACTTCTCAATTCTTAACTCAGCTGTATAATTTACTGTCCTGTCATGTTGCTGAAGGTGGGATAGGAACGTTTATGGGAATGCCTCAAGTACTACTTACATCACTTCTTCACTGAATACGTTACTATCGAGGTTGGGTGGTGGGTGGGGGGGGGGGGAGACCGAGTGGTTGAGTAAGTAGTTGATTGACTGGCAGATTGAACGAGTGAATGCGTGAGTGAATGATTTAGTAAGTGATTGAGTAAGTGAGCAAGCTAGTAAGTGATTGATTTAGTGATTTAAAGAGTGATGGAGTAAGTGAATGAGCGAGCCAGTGAGTTATTGCTTCAGTTTGTGAGTGAGTGAGTGAGTGAGTGAGTGAGTGAGCGAGTGAGTGAGTTAGTGAGTGAGCCAGCGAGCCTAGTTACCTGGCTGGAAACTGAGGTCAATGATACAGAAACAAAAAATTTGACTTTGGTGCGGATTTGAACGTCAGACCTTCGTACCGGCAGATATATTGGCCAGTGAGCTACCTCGGATCCCAATGTACCACAGCGCCTTTTAATTCCAGTGTCTTTCTTTTTTTTGACTTAGTCTCAGTCAATTTGTTGGCACCTTTCCGTCTTTCCAGACTATAGTGTTATGTCGTGCTATTACGGGGTGGGGGGAGGCTTGAAAATCACAGTCCCATGGCGATGGCGAGTGTGACTAGCAAGTCCCGCCCGTGTTAAGAAAAATCTACCCCAATTAGAACGTGAGGTGTCAGGCTGCATGGTTTCGAAGAATGGATTCTGCGTCGAGTCGTGGAGGTCCCGGGTTCAAGCCTCGGTGAAGGCTAAAAAAAACATTTTTCACGTGGACTTCTAGTAATTTCTCCCTGGTCTCTGGGTAGTAAGATCGGATGCTCGTGTGTATTGTTGCACGTAAAAAATCCCTTGGCAGTTGGAAATCGAAAAAGAGTATCCTAACGGCGCTGCCCGGGCACAATTTGGAGTTTAAAATCTACCCAAAGTATTTAAGGATCCTTGCCGGTCCAACAGAGTTCGTGAACTGCGCTGAGGGACTTCAGACTCAGGCTTCAGTTGGAAGAAAAACGGAGCAGTTATGGGTTACACCCAATTGCCTTGATGTTGATCCGTTAAATCAACATTAACATAACTGTTATGATTATTCAATGTCTGTAGGTTCGTGTTCACGGTGCTCCAGGTCCTGTGTATCTCAACCTCCTGGCTGCCACGGGGAAGTTCATGATCATTGTGGTCTTCCTCATGTTTGTGATGCTCGTGGTACTGGCATTTGGAAATATTTATGAGGTGAGTGAGTGCTAGTGATTGTTTCCTTGGTTGTACTGCGCGGCAACTGGAGTTGTTTAATGTAAGGATTGCCATACAATTGCTTAATTGGACTTAGTCTAGATTAGCGATTACCAAATTACCAACCATTTCTAGGTCGCATCCCTTTTAGTATATAGCAAGACTTCTACGCCCCCCCCCCCCCCCCTTTTCCACCCCCAAACCACTCTTGAGCATATTGCAGACTCCATAATCCCCTCCCCCCCCCACCCCACCCCCCCCCCCCCCAAGATAACAAAATGTGATTACAGATTTGAGGGTAATAGACTCCGCTACAAGGGAACCAAAAAAAATAGAGATACGTTAGACAGAATGTGTTCGTAATCTATATTTAAATGCCAATTTTTTCACATTAATTCGATTATTAACAGCACATGTACAAACTGTTCATGAAAAACAATTGTCCTCGCCTTGTATATCTAATAGTTTTACAAATATTTTGTTTATAATTAAACTTAAACAAAACGTTAGTGTAACGAAACACTACAAGTACAAAGGCACTTATTTTTTAAATTACTTGAACACACTGCCCATCCCTCCTCCAACCCCTTGAAATTTCCTTACCCCAACCTGGAGAAGAGCAGAGGGGTACACCCACCCCCTACCCACCCACCCACCCACCCAGGATTGAGACCACTGGTCTAGACATTCTTCTCTCTCTTTTGTTCACCGGTTGTAAGCTCTAGCGGAAAGTCCTTGTTGTTCGTCCATTTAGACTTTGACTTTGTGCCAGAGCCGAGTTTTGCGTGTGAATCCACTTTACTCGCTTATTTGTGTGCTGGTGGTTGTTCCTTGCAGCTTGACAAATGCATACTGACTTCGAAAGAAGCTTCAAATTATTCTACTTTTTTGACATTCTTGTTAGAGAGGCAGTGGGTTTATTCTTGTTTTCCCCAACAATGGAGCCCGGAACCCACACGAGGTCTAAATCAAGTACCCATATCAATGCGGGCATTTTTCCTGATAAGTGTGGGCAGGTGTCTGTGTACCAAGTGTTTGTTTCACATGTAACAAGTGAGTTAAGTTGAACCCCACTAGGACCACATAATGCGCGATTTTAAACCTGGTGACGCAAAGTGGCATTGTTCCGATGAGAAACCCCCTGGGAAAAATCACAGAAACCCTGTTCAAACCGTAAGGTTTTATTTTGACCCCAATGTCTGGACCGCAGTGATCCCCACTACCTAACATGATAACCCTCGAGTAAACCTAGTTCAATGACCCTGGTCTTTAAAACTATATTTCACTTCTGCGCAGACACCAGTTTTGTAAGTGATATCTGTCTAAGCTTATCTCCAGGTTGCTGCTATCTTACATGTGTTTTTCTATTCCTCAGATGTCGAACACAAACACAACACTGGCTACTTTAGCTGGCGGGTTTGTACCCATGTTGCTGAAGAACGTCTTGTCCTCCAAGGGAGCTAAGCTCAGCCTGAAGACTGTCAGTTTCAAAGGCCAGATAGATGAAATCATTGGAGACTACAGGCAGTACTGGCCCCTGACAGATTTCGTTTTCCAGCAATATGTTCCGGGAGAAGACGGTGAAGAGGATGAAGAAAACAAAGAATTTCCTAGTAAATCCAATGAGAATGATAAACACGGGGAATCTGGGGATGCAAAACGTAAAAAGTCTATTGCAGTAAAAGCTCTGGAAAGCACCAAACCCAAAGAAGGAGCAGCTGAAGAGAACAAGAAGAAGCATACAGAGGGTATTCATTTCAGTGATGAAATCGATGATTCTCAACGGAAAGATGATAAGAAAAACGGGTTGCTTCGGACCCCGTCGAAACTGACCAAAGAATTACTAGAAGATGATGATACGGTAGATCTTTTCATAGACTTAAGCGTGGCGGACACAGCAGGGTGGTCTATTTATGGATCATCCGAGAGTCTGCCTTCCGAGGCCATGATGCCAGGTTACTTTGATCCTAATAAAATTAACGAAGAGTACGAAGACAATGTTACAACCCGACAACCTGTTGCGGGGGAACCTCCAGAATATAGTATGTCTGTCAGTTATCATCCAAAGTCCTCTGCGTAAGCGTTGATTAAGGGCACTGACCAAAGATGTCTATAGGTAGTTATAATTCAGTATCATCATCATTATCACTGTCCTGTTGTGTCATTGTGTGTCACATATGGTTCGTAGTCTACGTTTCTATTCTTGGCCTTATGAGTTATGAGTTAAGATTTGGGTTATCTTCACGCACGCCGGACACGTCCATATGTGCTCAGATTCTCCCTTCAACACATACATCAGCGTCCCGCGATTGATAATCCCAGTTCTTTGTTGGTTGACACTTCTGGAGCGTCCGGTGTGCTTTTCGTGCCTGGCTGTGCAGATCTTTACTCCCAATTCTTGCACTCTTAGCAAAGATGTGGAAGTGTTGCCCCCCAAAATCCTCCGAACGACCTACCTCTCTGATTACGTTAACAATGTCTGCATGATCCATGGGCCAGACCTCTGTAACTAAGGCAGAGCCGGCTAATTTGTCAGTTGTTTCATTGCCAACAACACCAGCATACCCTGATATAAAGATGAAGGTAACTCCACGCACAAAGAAAGATCTTAGTCTTAGTCGAGGTTTCAGCCTCACTGCAATCGGGTTTTCCCGTACTCGCTCCTTTCCTATGCCAGTGAAAATCAAATAAAATGTTCCTCAGTACTGTCGCATTTGAAACACTGGTGGACAAACAATTAGTCCCTAAACAATGCAGAAAAAATGCACACGCAGTAAATGCATATGGCAGATGCTAGAGGCGCCAAAGCCAACAGTCGCCACCAGAAACGCAGTTTGTTGTTGATGAAAGCAGTCCATCTTCCATTCTGATCTATCGTATGCAATATTTTCTATATCGTAAATGGAATTTAGTCCAACACCTTTTGCCTCTCACACCAACATTTGTTTTAGGGTTTCGTTTGGACATCCTCGCTTCCTCAGTCACTTTATTTCCCATTGTAGTGCCTGCTTGGTGATTCTCTGCTCGTTTTTATTTAGCATATGTTTTACCAAGTTACAATTGCAGACTGATTATTTACTGTATTTCTTATATCGGTGCTTTATTAATATCCTACAACAAAGAGGATAAATCCACAGGTCACGGGACAGTCTAATATATCAGGGGGTGGTAGATAGGCTGCATGCTGTCATGAGACCTAGGCTGCAATCTTTTGTAGGACGTAGGTGGGTTGGGGTTAGGGCCAGTTCTAGATGTTTTGGGGTCGTTAAAAGCATCAGAAAGCCAGGAAACCCAGTCTTACCAGCCCCTAAAATGTTGGACTGTCCTGTGACGTCATCTGGGGGTAAGATATTAAAAAGCACCCTTTTATCTTGTCTTGTGATGACAAAAGTTGTTAATTTGAAAATGCAACAACTAATCGATTCTCTTACTTGCGTTTGGACATCGGGGTAGTACTTGCAGTTTTTTTTTTTTTTAAACTAAGTGGCGTCCCCACAAGGAAAGTTGGCTACAGTGTGCAACTGTTGTTTTTTGGGTAAATATATTAACTGGCGAGGCTCTAATATCTTGAACGGTGTGATTCTCGTACCATTTCCCCAGTACCACAAGAACGGAGTTTCTAACCGCCCACCGCATTCGCTAAAAGCTGAGCCACGGGTTAGCTGTTACGGATGCCGTAATTATAATTTTATAGGCGGCTGAGCAAGGCATATGGGATTATCTGGTTGTATTGCCATATGTTTGTGTGTATGCGCGCGCATACAAACATATATATATATATATATATATATATATATATATATATATATATATATATATATATATAAACATATGTGAGTGTGTGTGTGTATATATATATATATATATATATATATATATATATATATATATATATATATATATACAGAATTTCCTAGTAAATCGATAGTAAATCGACTAATATATACACACACACACATAAATACCCGAGTAATATAAGAGGATTTTTGATATTTCATGCCTTTAATCTAGATACAAATTCTTGAAATACTGTTTCCTTCGAATATGTTGTGGTAAACTTCCCATCATGTTGTCTCGGGTCATAAATTCTTGACTACCGGAAATGGCCGAACTGCACATGTAACCCAGGCGCTTACAGAATCGGGTAAAAGTAATGTTGGTCTCCCCACGCCCCGCCCATATACACACTAGCTCACTTCTGATTAGTAGTTCCTGAACCTTTCACCTTGGCACAAGGTTACGGGGATGTTCCTCAATGCCGTTGATATCGCGTGTTGTATATTTCAGCACGTCAGCGCTTTTAACACTCCAAAAACATGGACAGACTGGTCCTAACACAACCTCCCTAGAGAGTGCTGCAACCTATGTCACAAGAATTCTCTTCCTCTGAATGAAAACGTAAATGCCTGACATCACAAAAAGCAAACAACAGAGCGGGACACACCCGTAACGTTCAGGAAAGTCAACTAGCCCAACAAACTTGTGAATGAAAAGTGACCTACTCTGTTTGGGGAGATTAACATGAACCTAACCCAGAATCGCTTTGACTCAGTTTGTACATGGAGTTCATTGTGACACCGAACACATTCAAACATTGTTAACCCCCCTTGTGGTTTCTAAGGCCCCATTGTGGAGGGAAACTAGATCCACTGCTGCCTTACTTTGCTGTTGTGGGCTATCTAGGCAAATTTTACGTTCAGTAGTTTGCCACTGCTTACTAAACGGTCCACTGTCAGTACCACTGTCGAAACCAATGCAAGACGTTCTAGTCTGTCCGTCTATATTACTACTTTTTTTCTACAAGTGCCAATCAATACACGCCTTTTTGTTTCATTAATATAATGCTTCTGCAGACCCAAAGATTCCCCATTTGTTTATTTCTCCTTAGCATCTATACACCACTTTTTCCACAGAATCTCTAGAAACAGTCATTTTTCAACTTGGGTTGGTACGCTTGCCAGACATGATGCAGAACTTGTATCAATGGTTTTTTTTTTTTTACTTCTCATCTCTACATTCCATTATGTCATATATCTTTGCTCATCAGTGTACACTTTTACATGTGTATGCTAATAAAAAAAAAAAAGAAACTGAAAGGTACCTACTTTTTTCACAATTTTACCATTCAAAATCTTTGAAATTTATTAAGTAAAATTGTTAAAATTGCACACAAGAATACTGTATGGGGGCAACCAATTAATTGACAGTTCGTTTTCACCTGGGTCATCTTCTTCTTCTTCTTCGCGTTCACCAGCTGTACACTCTGGCGGAAAGTTCTGGTTGCTCGTCCACTACTGAACTGCAGTGCTGCTCCAGAACCTGAGTGCTGCGTGTGCATCAGTTTTACAGATCTCATTCTCTTGAATACAGACTGTTAGTTCCTTGCCTCTCCGGCAGATGCACTCCGACTTCAAAGGAAGCTCCCAATTAGTCGACTCTTACGACATGCTTTTGGGGAGGCAGTGGGTCTATTCTTGTTTTCCCCACAATGGGGCCCCGGAACCCACACGGGGGACCTGGGTCATCAATACCTCAAGGCTTACAAGCTTTTCCCGTCAACTAATAAAAACCCGCCATTGGATAACTATGTTTCCCCGTTGTAAATTTTAACAAAGAAGACACAAACAATAGATTGCACAATTCATTGCGTGGCATATTTCGTCAGGTGCATACTACAGTAACAATTACATAAATGAAGCAAAAAATTGAATCCTTTATAACTGAAGTACAATTTCAACAACTATCAAACATGACTGCCTGTTTTTACCAGGGCAGCCGTAAAGACAGAACAATGTCTTTCTGAATACAGAGTTCCGGGCGCAGGTGACGATAACTGTGTGTTTAATTTTGTGTGTGTGTGTGAACAGTATATATTCATATTCTGCTATACTGTAGAATGTCAAATAATTTCATCAATTTAATCTTTTATATTACATCTTTTGTATTCTTATAACACAGAGGATGCTTTAAGTTATAGTGGCCACATTAATATCAAGTACAGACTGGTCATTAGAAATAAGGGGTTGTGATGGGTTGAGTTAGATCAAGAATTGACATCACAGCAATCGGGGCATTCCCATTCGCGCTCCGTCTCCTTCTTCGGCAGCCAGCGCAGAGTTACAATACTAATGGTGCTGGTCGTAATCTGATTGTAGGTTCGTCTTGCCTTCCCTCAGTTACTTATTCGCAAGGGGCGCTGACCATATCTGCCCTGTCGTGTATCAGTTTACCACCTTGCGGACCAGATCCAGCCAGTCTGTCTGTTTATTCCCCACCAAGCCGGCATCGCCTGGAGAAAAGATCAAAAGTATTCTCACTACCCGTGACATTTCAAGTGAAGCTTGCCACTCTACTGGTACCAATCCTGACTCCTGTCTCAGCATGCTTTCAGAGTCTGTTACAATTACGACATGTGTATGCATCTTGTTCTCTGGCCACCGGAAAGCTGCAGTGACCACCTCCATCTCCATTCTCATGCTAGATGATGTGGTATCATATGCCAGGCTATCCTGCACTAAAGATTTTCCATTGGTTTTCGCTACAAACCCCCAGGCAGTTCTTCTCCCTCTCAATACAGAGCCAACTGTGTAGATAACCAGATAACCAGGACGGAAATTGTCGTGAATCAACTTTTGGACTTCCATTTCCGTAGCCCCTGCTGACCACTCTTAGCACTGCCAGCCTGATGTGATTTTGACCCTACATAAGTCAGACTTTTCCTCTGGTACTCTAACCCAATCCTCTCCCCACCTAGTGCTCTCCAGCATGCATTGTGTTTTCTGCTTGAGCTATCCATGATTTTTCCCTTTTCAACACCTGACTACTAACTGCAGCCATAGCTTCAGACAGAGGGTGCTCTTTGTCTGCAGCTGCTCTGAGGTATGACTTAGCCTGCAGCACCTTTAGCCTATCTGCAATAGTCGGCACTGCAAGGACGTATCTTATCTCATGTACACAATCGGGGTATCTCTTGTTCATGTCAGAGTCTCCCGCATAGCTTCATTATGTATGCGCTCCAGTTTCACTATCTGACTCTTCGAGACTATGAGCAAACCAAGTCTATAATCAGTCACTGAGATG